CCATCTGTTAGTCACTTAGGAGCCATCTTAGTTATCAGATCAACTGTCTCAGTATTGCAGTGCTTCAAGTAACTTATTTTACTTAATAATGTCTCTCACTTACCTCACTTCATCTCATCACATCAATATTTTATCATCTCACCTCACAAGAGGAAGGCTGAGTATAGTTCAATAAGCTACGAGAGAGAGAGAGAGAGAGAGAGAGAGAGAGAGAGAGAGAGAGAGAGAGAGAAAGGGAGAGAAGCCACATTCACATAATTTTTATTATAATATATTATAATTGTTCTATTTTATTGGTTATTGTTGTCAATCTTTTACTGTGCCAAATTTATAAATTTAACTTTGACATTTGTATGTGTATGTATAGGAAAAAAGCATAGTATGTATAGGGTTCAGTACTATACCCAATTTCAGGTGTCCACTGGAAGTCTTGGAATATATCTCCTGCAGATGAGGGGGAACTACTGTAATTTTATATTCTATAATTGCAATAACGTTTACAGTAATGAAAGGAGTCTAGCAAGTTCTCATGTATGTTCTAGACAAGTCCTGCCCAATAGACTTTATGGTGATGGAAATATTCTATATTCATGCTGTTCAAAAAATTAGTGGCTTTTGTTCACTTGAAATGTGGCTCATGTAACTGGGGGGAATGAGTTTTTAATTGTATTTAATTTAAATTCTCATATGTGCTGGTGGCTACTGTATTGGACAGCACAGTTCAACACTTCAATGCTTTCTTGACATTTCTACTTGGATGTCTCAAAGTTAACACAGTCAAATCAGAATTCTTTATTTATATATTTTTGTCCTCAACCTGTTTCTCCCCAAACAAAGCCATCATCGACCCAGTTGCTTGAGCCAAAACCTAGGTGTTATCTCGACCCCCTTCTCTCCTCATTTCCTGCATCTACTTTATCAGCAGGTCCTGATTGTTTTACCTTCAGAACCTCTACTGAATTCACCCACTTCTCTCCATCTCTACTGGTGAACCAAGGCATCATCATATCTCACCTGAACAATTGAATGGCCTCCAGTGATTGTTGGTTACCAGTGATCCATTCATTCACTGCTGCCTCTTCCAGACTCCTCCATACAGCTACCAAAGACACTATCAAACACTTCAGTAGGTTGCGTCACTCCCTGCTTGTATGGAAACATTTGTGGGACTTTGAATACTTATTTTCTGTCCCTCATTACAATGGGAGTTCCCCTATATCAGGAACCGTGTTTACCTCCTTCAATATTGTCTCTCTAGCACCTACAACTCTGCTCAGCACACAGTTTGCACTCAGCAAACCTCTGAATAACAATTCAATGAATATTTATTGTGGAAGGAGATAGCAAGTTACAGATCTTGGTTGTTAATAGCTGAGATGATGCTGACATCCATACACATGGAAGTTGATGGTTTATTTTGCATTCTGGATGTAAAAGGAAGGGTGGGCATTGTGACTAATCGCATGTATCTGTGAATGGGGAGGCTGGTCTACAGAACTGATGTAATCTCTGCCATGAACTAGAAAGAGCTTTTTTTCTCCCTAGACGTCTGTGTATGTCCCAGATCTTGAGACTTTTGTCTTTCCCACTGTGAGAGAAAGAGGAGAGTGTCCTCCTACCCGGTCACTTTTTATATTCATCCAAGGGGAGTTTAGATAATAATGGGAAGAAACGTGTTATGGAACTCAGGTGTAGTGAATGGCAAAGTCCTGTCTGGTCAGCAAAAGGAGATTTTCAACACGAGGCTGTTGTTTAAAAACAGTATTTGGCATATGCTCATCACTGAGTTATTTGAAACCAAGAAAACCTTGGGAAGCAGGGTTTTGTGTCCTTTTTTCCTTGACTATTGTGTTTTTTAAGGAAATATCTTTTCTAACATTCCTTTATAATGACCAACCAAGGCATTCAGAAGGGATGCTATTACTTAGATCCATTGATCCATGTGCAAAGCTACATGAAGCTGATGAACTAGTTGGAGATATGATAGACTTGGTCAAGCTCTGAGTTGCACTTATTTCCCCTAGTACTGAACAGGCCTGGGAAATGACCATCCCCTCAGCACTGACTGGATTTAAAAGATGAAGCTAAAGCTAGCTTTGCTAAAGTTCACATCAGACTCTTAATCCCAGTGGGTTTTTATCAGGCATGATTTTTTAGCCCTGTCCCCATCCTTCCAATGGCAGTCCCAGTGTTTTCCTGTGTGTGCCTTTATTGAGCAACTACTATGTGCCAAAAACCTTGCTAGGTCCTGGAAAAACAAAGATGAGTTAAACATATTCTCAAGCTTCAGATATTCTGCAAAGAAGTGGGCGGAGACCAATAAACAAACAAACAAACAAACAAAAATGAAACAGAAGCCACTTGCAGTAACAGAGGAAAATGCAGTGACAATGAGAGTAGAAGGCAGTGGGCAGTGAAGAGTGCAGGCTCTGGAACCACATTGTCTGGCTTCACAATCTCACTCTGCGATTATAAACCGACTTATAAACCGTGTGACCTTAGGCTACTGACTTAATCTCTGTGCCTCAGTTTGCTCACCTGTTTAATGGGGTAATAAAAGCACCTACCCATATGGTTACTAAGTGGGTTAAAGAAGCAACTAAGCACTTGGAACACAGCTCCATAAAAACCAGCCTTTGTTATCATCAGTAGCGGTAGTACATAATTATTGATTGAATTGAGTGAATGCTATTACTGCGGAGAAGTTGTCTGTAAGCCAGCCAGGGGAGTTGACAAAGGCTTCCCAGCGAGGGTGACTTTTGAACTGAAATTTGAAGATAGGCTAATATTGTCAGGAAAGGACAGGTTTGATAGAAAGAACAGAATCTGCAAAGCCTTAGAGGAGTGAGAGTGTGGGGTGTTTATGGTCCTGTGAATAGGTCTGTGTGGACACAGGACAGGGTGCCTGGGAAGAGTGCCCCGGAAGGGGGCAGGCCTGAGATCACTGGGGCTTTGGAGACTGGGCTAAGGAACTTGGACTTGATCCTAAAACCTAGAGGAAGCACTGAAGGACGTTCAACAGGTTTGGCGCTCAGCATGCAAGACTGGGCAGCAGAGTCTCTCAATGGCCTCGGCCTGTGGCCTGTTGATTCTAAGTGTCACTGACCAACCTCCTTCCCTATGATTTGGATAGGGCCGTGGTCGGCACACTGCGGCTCGCGAGCCACATGCGGCTCTTTGGCCCCTTGAGTGTGGCTCTTCCTAAGCCTTAGGAGTACCCTAATTAAGTTAATAACAATGTACCTACCTATATAGTTTAAGTTTAAAAAATTTGGCTCTCAAAAGAAATTTCAATCGTTGTACCGTTGATATTTGGCTCTGTTGACTAATGAGTTTGCCGACCACTGGGATAGGGAGTTCCCATATGTGGACCTGATATTTCTCACCAGATGTGATTTCTTTGGGACCACAGATTAATAGAGTGGAAAGGATGTGTTTTCTTGATTCCTTTCTACCTGATCCTTGGATGGCTGTCTTACCCCTTTGAGAATCGGATGAAAGTGATAGATCCTTCTCTTGGAAAAATCATGAAGACAAGATTTTCCAGAGCCTTCACATTTCCCTTCCCCTGCACCCCACCTTGGTCATCCAAATAGGCTCCCAGACCCAGTGCCACCTTTTGACCCCAGGCCTGCTTGTGGTTTTTGTGTTCTTCCCCCAAATTGTTAACTTGCTAGCACATCCACTCTTCCGTCTGCCATCACTGCTATTATCTGACCGTGTATCATGAGAGCAGCCTTGGATCACTTGGAGGTTATAATTAAAACTGAAAGCAATTATCTTATACTGAGCCGTTCAAATTTAATTGTGAGTATAGTGGCTGAGGACATGGCTCTAGGGGGAGATGGGGGAGGGCGGGGCAGGCTGTGTGGATTAGAATCCCAGCTCTGTCACGGTCTTATAACCTTGAGTAAGTTACTCAATCTCCCTGTGCCTCAGTTTCCTCATTACAAAATGGGAATGCTATCATATGCTTCCCTCATGAAGTTATTGTGAGGATTAATTTAGGTGACATAGGAACATGCCAAGAACAGTTCCTGGCACAGAGTAAGTGCTATATAAGTATTATTACATTATTATTTCTACTGAAATGACATCATGAATGGGATAATGTGGATTACTAGGAGCAGGAAAATAGATGAGTAAAATCTCCATATGCATTTGACTCAGTTTGGAGCCTTGCCAGTACCTGATGGCCAGGAATAGATTCTCTACGTCTGTACTGTCTGGTGGGGTAGTCACCGGCCCCCGTGACTGTTGAGTACTGGAAGTGTGACTAGCCTGAGTTGAGATGTACTGGGTCTTGAAGATTTAGCATGAAAAAAACCAAGTAAAATGTCTCATAAATAATTTTTATACTGGTTACGATGAAATAATATTTTTAATAAATTCGGTTAAATGAAATGTATTATTAAAATTAATTTTGTCGGTTTCTTTTGCTTGCTTCTTGTGGCTACTAGAAAATATAAAGTTATATACGTGGCTTGTTTTATATTTCTACTGAGCAGCATTGCCTTAGGCTCACCATGATCATGAAAACAACATTTTGTGGTTGCGATAAGGTGGCCACTATTGGAAAGCCTTGTACATGCCTCCCATTGCCATTCAAGTTCTATTGGACCGGCCATTTTTAAATTAGTTCCTTCGAGGAGCCATGGCTTGGTCCTAGCAGAAGGGGATTGAGGGTTGAAGGCAAGAGCAATAACGAGGGAGGCTTCTGCTGACTTGGAGGGGTTTGGGATGAAAACACTACCATTTATAGTTATACTGGGCTCAGCCTTTCAGCACTCCCTGAAGTGGATGAGAGATTGCTTTCTCTTCAGGAAGTTGAAATATGTCGGCGAAAAACTCCCCCTATTCCATCAGGAGCCAGAAAAGGCTTTGCTCATCTTTAAACTAAAAGAATAACCACTCAACATTATGTCAGTCACTTGGGACCGAAAGCACACCCTTTCCAAGTGTGATTTACTGAGGGAGTGTTTTGTTTAATTCTGTTTCAGATTCACTCCTCCACTTGAAACCTGAAAACGGTGGGCCACACACAGTCTGACTGGTAAGTTCTCTTTCACTTTTAAAACAAAGTGACTGTTTGACATTATTTTTGAAATGACATTCACACTTCTAAATTAGATGCATCTCTACCAGTACTATGATTAGATGTCTATTTATTCACACTGAATATGATTTAAGAAGTTTTCATGCCTTAAAAAGAAAAAAATCAGTCCATTTTTCTTTTGCTAGGATCATGGTCAGGGAACAGATCTGGAATTATATGCCAAATACTATTAAAATAAAAAGTTTTTTTTTTCTTTTGTAATGGAACTATTTCCAGGCCCCTGTTGATGGTCTGCTTGTTTCAAGCAGTATCCACAACAACAGTGTCACTTCAGCCAAGGAATGCAGACAGTCCCTTGCAGTGTGTTGTAATGAAAATTGGCTCACAGCTATAACATATTAGCTTTCTTATTGCTCTATTTTTTCTCTGATCTCTCTTTGAACCTGAATGTGATTGTTGTGAGAGAAGAGTTCTGGGGTAGAAAACTGCCTTTAGATCTAGGAAAGTAATATACTTTATAAGTGAAAAAGCTTTGGGGGCTTTCATGTGATATCACTCCCTGATATTGTGGCAATACTGTTATTTGCAGTGTGTAGCAGATAGCTTTTGCCGCATAACATACCATTCCCAAATTCACAGCCAAAAATTTGAGCTGAAATTTACTGATGCAAAATGACAATCACTTCTTCATCCCACATTTCTGCAGATTGGTGATTTGGGCTGGGCTCAGCTGTGTGATTTTTTTGGCTTCAGGTGGGACTTACTTATATGTCTGTCCATGACCAGAATTGAATCCGAGGACCCTTCAGTCCGCTAGCCGATGCTCTATCCACTAAGCCAAACCGGCTAGGGCCCAAGGAGCATTCAAAATTGGCTCAGTTCAGATTTCTTGCCTGAATCAACTTAGCCAGAAGTAGGTAGTAGACAATAAGCAATACCTGTTGGCCATGCCTTGTTCATGTGTTCATTGAGAGAAGGTGAATACCACCAGAATCACAGGGAATGGGGTCCCCTATGTAAAAAGGTGGATTTTTTTTTTTTTTACCAGAAGAAGGAAGAAAAGATAAAATTTCTAGGTACCAGAGTCTACTGATTTAGAAATTCTTAATTTGGGGTCCACTAACCTTGAAAGGTTTAAACTTAGATTCAGCATCAATTACATTGACTACCCATTGCAGATTTGGTGTCATGATCAGACTAGCCACAGCGAGCATTCGGAGAGGATGAGGATAAATGGCTCCATTGCGGGTAGATAGCTTTCGACCTGAGGACCTCAGACCCATAGGAGTGGATATTAACCTGGAGACAATGAATGGTCTTCAGTGGATCTATAATCCGTGGAAGGAATCAACAAATGGGCTTCTATTATTATTATTTACTTTTTTACTGGAGAAAAGGATCATGCTTCCATCATTTCTCATAGGATTCCATGGTCCCTTGCTGCTTAAGAGCCATGGCTTCAGACTTATTTGAATTGTTTTAGATTTGGCTGGTGTAATTTTATGCGTTCATTTCTTGTCCTGGCTCCGCTAGGGAAGTTTAGCGTCCATGATAAACATAGCTCCTTATGGAGCGGAGACAGTGATGTCAGTGGCTGAGTATGTTGCATTAAATTACATGTTGAGGTTTTTAGGCATATATATCAACTCTTCAGAGTTGTAGTTGCCATGTACCTAATGCTTACTTTGGTGGCAGGCTCGGTGCTAAGTGCTTCACATGCATTATGGAACTATATACTTAACACACATGACTGTAATTCTGCGAACCTCGGGTCTGTGTATAGTCCCACCTGCTAGAACCAACTCCTTCCAGCTGTCTCCCTGGAAACACCAGATACAGACTCTAAGTTTCTCTTTTTCTTTATGTCTGCTGTTGTGGGTCCACCTGTCTCCACCTTCCCACCTCCAGATGATAGAGTCATAGAATCTCAGAGTTGGGAGTGACCACTAAGATCACAAAATGCAGTGGTTTTTGGACTCTGCCCTTTGGTTTTCTAGCTCAAGGACACCTGAGAAAGAGGAGCAGGACCCAAGTCCCTGTCCTGCTTCGGTCACAACTACCTGCTGAAATCCACTCACCTGGGACGATAGAAGAGTTCAGGGTTAGAGGTCAGACATGAGGCTGAGTCCAGGCTACTGCTTTACTTATCTTCCTGTGTGACTCTGGGAAAACTGCCTAACCTCTCTGAAGGGGAAATTTACAAATCCCCTTCATTTGAAAAGGGGATAATAATACCAGCCTCATGGAGTTGTTAGGGGGACTGAATGATGTAAGAAGCTCTGTAAAGATCTTGACCTGTGCCTCGCACATAGTCAGTGCTTAGTGAAGGTTAGCTGTCACTAGCACATGGCACAGTGTGACTTGTGGCACATAACTAAGACGCAGCTTTATTCTTGTCTCCCACTGTTCCTCTAAAGTTTATTCAATGGGCTGTGTTTCCCCCGGATTCCTGATAAAAACTTGGTCAGGCCTATGACTTTTCTGGTTACTCTTAGGTAATGAAAAGTCCTCAGGCCACTTTAAGTGACACACACACACACACACACACTCACTCACTTTGGAACCTGGAAATGCTCACTGTACTCTAGGGACAGTCAGTATTCGTTCCAAGAGGAGACTTTCCTCCATCTTGCCAGTGAGGTCCCCCTCATCCAGCTGCCCATCTACCGCCCCAGGCCTCCCCAGGTGCTGCAGACAGGGAGAGAGAGAAAGTTCTTACCTGACTGCTCCCGTCCCGCCTTGCACTGGGTTCTCTGAGCCTGGCTAACAGGGAAGGGACTCTGCTCTCTTGGCTGCTTCTGTGGCTTTCTCAAGGTCTCCACTGGAACTTTCCGTCCGGGATCTCCCAGGACTCGGCAGTGCCTTTCCTTCTACAGCTGCTACATCTGCAAGCAGCTTCTGGCTTCCATTCAGATGCTCTCTTTGGGGGCCTCTCACCCTCAGGCTGAAGCCCTCTTGGGTAGAACCTGTTTTTAAAGTCCCCCAGGCTGGCCTTCCTGGTGCCCAGAGTTCATATTCCTTTAACTGCCCCCCGCCCCCTCATGAGGGAAGGGGACAAGCAGTCACTCTGTCCTCTCTCACCTTTGACTAGGCCACTTTGCCCCCTCCCTCCCCAACTCACACTTGGTTTCTCAGGCAGGTGTCACATACCAGTCCCCACACTCCAGGAGGCGCATACCAAGCCCTCCAGATGTTGCCTTTGAAACCCTCTGTCCAGAGCTGAAAGGCTGGCCTCCTCCACCCACCCACCTTCGGGAGGCCAGAATCTGAGCATTTCTGAGGAATCTGCCTCAAAATGCCCCATCACTTTCCACCATCCTGAGCCCGTTTATGTTCTCCTTCTGGGTCTTTCTGCCAGCGAGGCCAACTGCTTTAAGATTTACACATAATGGCCTGGCCCCTTGCTCTGGAATTTCCCATCTGTTGAATCTTGATGCCGCAGTGGAAACGTCCACTTTAGGCTCTTGTTATAGTCACTGTAATTCCCCAGTGCAAGCCACTCCTCTTCAGCCCCCGTGCAAGCTGCCCTTCATCCTGCGCTTGAAGCCTGTCCAGGCGGGGCACGCCCTCCTGAGCATCCTATTTGGATATCCGGATAACTTGGAATTGTTGGAAAGGTGTTGCTGCTGTGAAGCTAGGCCTGGCTCCCAGTAACGCCCCCATGAATGGGGCCTGAAGAAATCTGCCTGGGTGGGAGAGATTCTGAGTGGCAGCCAGGCTTTCACTGACACCCTGGTCTCCAAAACCACAGAGAGGCCTTGAGCCTCGTCTCTGGGTGGGTTTTCTCCACCGTGACACCAAAGTGCACTTGACAATAACCCCAAGAGGAAGCTGGTATTTGGAAACACTGTGCTCAGTGGCCATTTTTCATGCTCATGACATAGTGTCTCTTGATCTGAGAGCTGATTTCCTGTGCTTCATGGGGGGCATGTGAATCAGGGCTCCATCCAGAGTTTATGAACTCTGCAAAGTCAAGCCTTGTAGCATGTGCCCCTCTGACCTCCAAAGATACCCTGGCTGGCTCGGTCGGTTGGAGCGTCATCCCATACACCAAAAAGATTGTGGGTTTGATTCCTGGTCAGGGCACATACCTAGGTTGCAGGTTCGATCCCTGGTCAGGGTGCTTATGGGAGGCAACTGATCGATGTTTCTCTCTCACATTGATGTTTCTCTCTCTCTCTCTCTCAAATCAATAAACATATCCTCAGGTGAGGATTTAAAAATATATATGTGTTATTATTATTTTTTTTTTAAAAAAAGGGGAAGCAGTGCAGCCACTCCCATCGGTTGGTCAGCAAGTATTTATTGAGCATCTGCTATGTGCTTGGGGCAGGGTGAGAGGGAGCAGAACCGAAAGGAGACTCCGGGCCACCGACCACCTGCATGGCTCCCCAGCTCCTCAGCTGAGCCTCAGGCCCTCACGCTGGCATTGTGTGAACAAGGGAAACCTCTCACCAACACGCTCCTCCACCCGCAGGGCCAGCGGCAGAGCAGTGCCAGCATGGAGCTTAGGCTTCAGGGCCTTGCGGTGCCAAGGACCCCTCCGGAGCCCTATAGCTAATGTGATAGTCCTAACGTTTGCACTCGTTTTCTAAAGCATTACATAAGGCTCAGGACCCACAAACACTGCATCTGTCCCTGGGCCAGGGAGAACTGTCACCCTCTTTGGGTCTTCCCCTCAGCTCTGTTTCACCATCACCAAGACACTAAATCTCCAGTTGCCTTCTCCCTCGGGAACAGGCTTTGCCCCGTGTGTGTCCTCTTCTGCACCTGACCCTGAGTTCCCCTGGGAGCTCCTAACCCTTTACGTAAGTGAGGGGGAAGGGGGCGCATTGAGGAATTGCTGTCTGGGGTCCTTCCTGGCCACCAGACACCCTCCATGGAGTGGAAAGGTCCCACCATCCCTGCAGGAAGGCAGGGGAGGTGTTCTCAGACCTCCAGACTTTGTGGTTGATCCGAGGGAGCCCCTGCAGAGGAGCGGGTAGGAGGGAGCCAGG